ATCAGATTTGGCTAGGTTAGATTAAAATTAGACTAAATCAGATTTGGTTAAGTTAGGTTAGAATTAGATTAAATGAAGTTTGAGTAGGTTAGGTTAGAATTAGATTAAATGAAGTTTGATTAGGTTAGGTTAGAATTATACTAAACAAGACTTTGCAAGATTAGGTTAGAATTAAACTAAAACGGGTTTGATTAGGTTAAGTCAGAATTAAACTATATTAAGTTTGACTAGGTTAGGTTAAAATTAAACTAAATCAGACTTAGCTAGGTTAAGACCGAATTAGGCTAAATTACGTCTGACTAAATGAGGTAAAAATTGAGCTAAATTAGGTTTAACTTAATTGAAGGAATTGGAATAATTAAGTTAGTATAAATTATATTAAACAAGCTAAGTTATGTTATATTAAACTACAATAAGCTAGGTCATGTTACATTAAACTACAATAAGTTATATTAAATTAAATTAGAATAAGCTTAATTAGGTTATGTTAGATTAGGCTAAATTTAGTTACATGAAATTTGAACTTATTGTTAGTATAAAATGTAATAAAATATTCAAACACTCCAACAGAAATGATAATTATTGCAAAAGCTTGAAAGGTAAATTAATTTACATTGAATTTGATTTGAACATGAATTGTGAAGCTAATTTAGGTTACTCAGTCAGATTACATTCAACTAGGTTATGTTAGATCACGCTAGGTTAAATTTGGTTAGTAATTGGATTAGATTATACATATATCTAGTTTATAATTGAATTCGATTAGATTATGAAGTCTATGATTTATTAACGATATCAATCCCAAATTGTATTTTGTCAGAACTTTTCAATATATGAAATTGAAAATATCCTCTTTTTCTCCATAAAAGAGTCTGACCACCATTTTATAAATTTTATTTCAATTATACAGTTTGCTTTCCGCACGGTGTTTGCTCTAATTGTATCATAATGACGATGATGATCTTGATGTCTTGTCTCCCCAGCGAATTCAGTCTCGGGAGAGCTAATAATGCTAACCATTGCCATGAATTATTGATACAACCCATTTATATAATGTCCGTCAGCACAACAGTGTATAACATAAACATCATAACGTAATAACATAAAATAACATTATTAAATGAATCCATTGTAACATATAACTGTAACGTATACATTTACTGTAGTATAATAAAAACGAGATAAAACGATCTCGCCATATTCCGATCTAAAACGAATCATCAACTTTTCGGTGCATCTGCTAGTTATAACCTTTACGACAATCTGCCCGTGTAACCATAGAGTAAACTATAGATAGAGCGAAAACACAGCAAGCGTAAAGTTCTAATCTCTACGGGGGCTGTTTTCCGATCCTTAACGAATCCCGGAGTCCATAGGAGGAAGACACCGGAAGAAGGGAGAAGTAGCGAATCGTAGAAGGTGAAATTATCTTTCCGACTGCCGTTTACATCGTACGGCTTCTATAGTCTTCCAGTTCATATCGTAGCCGACGAGAGAGTAGAAAGGTAGAGGCTTCTCTCGCACACACAGCTCGTAGGACCATAGCCGGCTATAGCTTGCCTCTGCAGTTCGCCGGCTATTTCCCATTTGGCAGGCGAGCCAGACCCAGCACTTTTGGTGCCAACCGATAATTGGACGAATCGCAGTCATTCGCTTCGCGCGAACTACTCTCCTCTCTCTCTTTCTCTCTCTGTCCATCCATACGCCGTCTCTTACCTCCACACACCGGGTTCCTAACGTTTCTTCCCCTTTCACGGTTTCAGCCGCTTCTCTATTCTCGCCCTGTCTCTTCGATTCCTACCCTCTGCGATGATCATCCCGGTCTTCGTCTACATCGTTCAAAAAGACCATTCCTGCGAACCTACTCTGTAACTACAGCTACCGTCTCGAATAACCTTCGATGATCGAAGGTCCAAGATGTCGTAAAGACTAGACCGTACGCGTCACTTTACAACCGACGAAACAACGATTGCTACTAAATCTAGGATACTGGAGCTGCAGCCGTAAAACACCTCTCTGGGTAAGGGAGCTTCGCTAAAATCTTTTGGGTGTTCACTTAATCTTTATGGGCGACGTTGTTATGTCTGCTAGGCTGAATCCAGTTAATATCGGTTGAGCTTAAACGTAAATTGGTTCTGATCCTTGCTGGATGTTCAGATGTATAATGTATCGAGATACATCGAATGTATTTATACTTATAATGTAATTTATCACATTGGATGTATTTATACTTAAGATGCAATGGCACGTCAGATGTATCTACACTTTAGGTTAATGAAACTCATCATATGTGCTTACAATTGCAATCTAATGAATCACCTCATATGTGTCTACATATAAGATAAATGAAATGTATCACATATGTTCACAATTGAAATCTAATGAATCACATCATATGTGTCTACATATAAGATTAATTAAATGTATCACATGTGTTCACAATTGATCTAATGATTCACATCATGTCTACACATGAGATTAATAAAACTCATCACATGTGATAACAAGTATAGTCTAGCAAACATCAAATATGTTTACACTTGAGCCTAACATCAGACATGTTCACACTTAAATCTAACAAATCACATGAGATGTATTTACACCTAAAATTTAACAAAGTATATCAAACGTGTTCACACTTAACATAAGACTGAACACCTCAAACGCTAAATTATTCTTCTTAACTAAATCAACATACTTCTTTCTCATCATAAAACTTGCATCCTCAACAACACTCCAAATTTACTTTAACTACTTTGTCTTTCAATAATTTTATTTTAATTTGTTTTCCAACAAATGGTGTTGCACATCATTTTAATAAGTTCAAATATAAAATATTAGATATCATGTGATAATGTAAATGAAATATTAGATATAATATGAAAATGCGAGATATGTGCAATTGAAGTAAACTGTTTTTGACCAGCTCCCTTCCGATGAAAATGTTTCGTAACTTGAGCTTATCTAAATGCATTGATGGATTTACGTGATCTATAATAATGTTACAGCGGTTATATACATATGTACGTGTATCTATGTAGCGCATCAACATGTTCACTTATTGAAAGCTCAGCTTTAAGAGGCTTAGACACGCTCGCGGTAAAACCTAGGATTTATGTCGGAAGCAATCATAAGATTATAGAACAAGCTTTAAGCTTGTTTATTCAAGAGGCGTGAAAAATAACCGGTGTAACCTTCTTGGCTTTTAGAAGCTACTCGGTCATCAATTTAACTAAATGGTGAAAACAGGGAAACAGTAATTTCAAAATTATTAAATGCTGATTGAATGAGAGGACACATATTGCCGGCCATTTTGTGCATTCTTCACGTTCTGATATTAGCTAGTTCTGATGATCATAGATTTCTGATGTTATTTTAGAAATAATTTTGACGGTGAATTATGGTTATTCAAAAGATAAAATAACTACAGTGAAATATATATTTTACGTTCTGTCGAATAATATTGTTTAAGGTTTTTAATATAATTTTAAGTCATTTTAACTTTAAAAATTTTTAATATGAAATTCCAGTATTTTTGTACACATAAATTTCTGGATTAGGACATTTAAAGCTTGAGAAGTTTAAAAAAATTCAATTCAAACAACCACTGACAAGCAAATATCGTTATTTTTAAAATAAGAAAAATATCTTTCCACATATGGAAGTATCAAGGTGCAAAGTAATGCCAGAATAATTAAATACCTTAATACAAAATTAATTTACAAAAGTTTGATATAATTTTTAATCATCGAATATTCTACATATACCTGTAATAAAATAATTTTAAATACAGTAAGAAAATAGTAGCAAATGTAAAATAAGTAATAAAGGTTCCTGAATCATCAAAGAGGATCTTCCAACCCTCATCTTGATGGTTGGTGATATATTACGCACTGGAATAGTGCCTTATGTGCTTTCAAAGTAGGTGTTTGTATTTCAGAACTTATTTTCAGTTTTTTTATTTATGTTCAAACCATTTATTTAATAGTATAAATAAGTTTAGAGATCGGTGATTATAACATAACAGATTTATTCGTGATTTTTATGAAACTACAAGCTACCTAGTGTAAGCACTTGAAATGTATTGTTCGGAACCGCAAGAACGTATATACACGCAATGTTACACCAAAAATATATCCACCTGGCAGGTGTTATTTATTTTATTATTTATATTTCAGCTAAAATATATTTATTATGTTATATTTCTTGCGGCTCTGTTCTTTAGTTTCATATAGAATCTTATTTGGAAACGTATACATTCAGTCAAAGTATATGGAAGAAACTTAAGATACATTAACTAAATACACACACACACATATATATGTATTCTTCATTTTTTAATTACGAAACCTATTGAATGACGGAGAACAAGCCCTGTCTATGCCTATAACTTTCAGATGTACATGGGCCGTTTATGTACCATCACTCGTGGAACTAACTGAATTTTAACTGATATTTTGGAACAGTTTTATTTGTTAAAAATGATAGCAATGTATCTCGAATCAAAGGTACGAATGTCCGGGAACATGTCTTGTACTTTACTGTGGGTATTGAATTCTTATAATCATTATAATAAACGTATTTTTGATGTGCTTATTTCGTTTCAATCATTTTATCCCTCTAGAATTCAACTGATACTTAAAGTACATTCACATTGGTTCATCCAGTTTCTTGTATGGATATGATAAAATCGTGTTTGTACTGATAGTTGTACTCGGAACTGTTCCACGTATTACATGCGTTTCTTTATAATACAGTGCAGTCTCGCTATACGACTCCCACTTACATTTGAACACAAATTTTCTAATTTCCAAATTTATGGTAGAACTCATTGGTACAGCGAGATTCCGCTATGGCACAAAATTTTGTTATATATATCTCATTTCTGTACAGTTGTACTCGAAGATTTATCCGCTCCGCGGAGCGTTCCCTGGTCAGCTAGTATCTACATAAATAACCGCCGATTCTCGTAGGCTCAATTTATCACAGACTTCAAAGAACAATATTCAATCACAGTTCATCGTGCATCAACTCGACGGAGCTCGTTTCGTTACACGCAGACGGATCCGACATCCAAGCAAGATCTTGAAGAGTCGCCGCATGCATCGAACACACAGCCAGAACGACCAACACGTGCATCAAATTGTGAGAATTCAACGCCAAATCTAATTTGCCTGGAATCCATTTTTCAGGAATACGCATGGCACCAATGGTTGCTCCCACCACGGCTATTAGATCCTGAAGAAGTTCATTTGATATTGCAGGATTCTTTTATTGCTCAAGTTCTAATGTGGTCAAGTACTTTGGGATGTTCACCTGTAACACAATGTGAAGCAAAGCGTTCGGAGACCCTCCACCTATACCGAAACACCGCAGGATCATCACCGACATCCTCATCAAAAAAGGAGGTGCGAAACATAATCTTCTCTCCCAGGGAGATCGTGCGTGCATCGCCTACCGTTCCCTAGTCAGCTAGTATTGTCCTCAGAAAAGTGTACATTGAAGAGTAATATTGAATTAACATTTTCCTTTAACAATCTTCTATATTTACTAGCATGGTATCGTAAGCGTGTCATGGTCAAAACCCACCCTATAATTACACCGAAGCATGCGCAGTTTTGTAGAGGAAATCGAAGAAAGGGACTCGTTTCTCGAGAGGCTCTCTTTAGCAGGCTCGAGTTTGCACCCGCTAAAACCGTGGATTTACATTAGAGGCAATCACAAATTCACAGAGCATTAACTCCGTGTTCAGAGGCGATAGAGTATAGGCACAGGGGATGCAAAGAGCGCGAAGGGATGACGAGTTAAGGGAGAGAAGCGGCAGGAGTACGGGAAGTATGCACTATCTGCAGGATCCGTGCTATTTGTGCAAAGTGGCCTAACCTCCCTCCTAACCCATCTTGAACCACCCCCCGACTCACCCTCTGTTCTTCGATTCGACATAACCGCCTACATTTAGGAGGTCTGGAGGGTAATACATTGTTTGCTCTTCGTTCGCTAAACTAAACCGCATTCGGAATTAATTGCACGTTAGGAGGCCACGGGATAATTAAAGCCGCCCCGATTACCCTTGCCAGCCACCCCCTCTCGTTTCCGGTGCCTTCTACCGGACGTCTTACCCGGAATCAAGTATTGTAATAAGTACTCTATGAATATTTATTACAATTTTCTTTCTGGTGCATATGTTTTCAATCTTTATTTTGCAAATATGCACAAAATCTAGATTAATTTATAGACTTTTGTTCTGTATTTAGCAATTTTATATTTTTTTGTTACTTTGTACATTTTTTACTTTGCGGTTTATTCTTTTATAGTATTTTTCCTGTTCGATATTTTCTATAGTTTTCCTGTTAATTTTCTCTGGACACAATTTTTACTTTTCAATATTTTCTGTATACATTTCTCCTGTTTTTTATATTCTGTATACTTCATTTTTCCTAATCAATATTTTTCTTATTTTTGTACTTTTTATTTTATTCTATCTTTTCTTCTATTATTTTGTTTTGCGTTTTTTATTTTCGACATCAATAATTTTATCATTCACTATTAACACAATTTGAAATTGCACCTTTAAATTAAATATATTAACGTTAAGTGCAATTCCAAAATTAATATCGAATTCAATACTAAATTAACATGTAAAAATTTGTGAATGAATATTTCTGTTAGAACGTAATTTTGATTTCATGATGAAACAAAATATTTAATTTAATTTAAAAAGAGTAAATAAATCTCTGACCATTAAATATTCTCCATTATTACAGAAAGATGAGAAACAACTTACACAGAAAATTTAATAACTAAGAAAAAGTAGTCAATGTATAAAAAATAAGTGAAGAATAATAACGTTTAAAATCAACGAGTTTTATGGAAAGTTGCAGAAATGGAGGTTGAGCAGACATCGAGAAACACACGAAGAAGCGGAGACAATTTAAACTAACCTCAGTCGACAATCGATTCTCAACCACGAATAAAAAATCATTACTGAGATACATGAAACTGGGATAATTGCTTCGGTGAATAATTGAAAAGATTAAAGGGAACAATTCGTTCGATGGTTTATTTAAACGATTTAAAATACATATTCCTATTAAATCTGATTTTTCTTTGTTACTTACTCTGAACTTTGTCTTTTGTACGTTTGTAAAGATTAAAAAGTAAATTAGAACAAAATTTAATTAATACCAATTCTTTGCCAGGAGAAAAAGATTATCGAACGAAATAACATCGTAATAATTATTTGAAGAAATAATAATTGAAAACTTTTTCAAATCGTAAAAGATTCTGGGAGGAAGCAACGATCAAAGATGAAATGGAAGTAGAATTTAATTTAGTTTAAAAACATTAAATCAAATATTTAACAAAATAAATTATTTTATAAAAATTATAATCTTTCAAATCTGCAAATATAAAAATTTTCAAACTAAAGAATAAGGCTTCGCTTTCAAACAAATCCAAAAAAGATGGAATCTGCTTTTCTAAATGAAAAAATGAGAAACTTATATATTTAGGAATTCACAAATCGTAGAAAAGTTTGTAACTCATGAATTAAAAAACGACTACAGATATCGAGCAATGAACTTTGCGAGAGTTTGAGAACAAAGCACACGCGTCGCCGTCTTCGAAAAGTACACGAGGGGTGAGCAATCAACCCCCAACAAACCCCAATCGACTTTCTCGATAATCTATAGGTTTTTTCTTCGGCGTGGAAAACCAGCCACGACGAGGAGCCATTGTTTCTTCTGTGTACGGCCAGTTTGATTGTGCTAATGAAAAATGGGAAGAAAGTGAAGCCGGGCCAATGGTTTTATTTCCAAGGGCGCCGCAAAGATCGCAGAAAAGGAACGAGACAATTGAACGTGATCCAAAAACGCTTATAAATGAGTAATAGCCATAATGAATGAGATAGCGCAGGATTATATCCATTATCGTATATCTGTAAAAGAGAGTTGCTTCTTTTTTTTCTTTTCTTTCCCTTTTTATTTCTTATCGAGTCATTGATGCTCATATTTCTTTTCAGCTACGGGGATTATCGATCGTAAATATGTTTCGGATGTCAATAGTTTTAGCGCGTACGTGAGCCGAATGAAAGCTTTGGTCGGTGGTACGTGTGTTAGAGCAAATGGGCAACAGTGCCTGCAGGGCGAGGTGCAGGGTGTCATGAATTTGATGCTGTTGACGGAGAGGTTCTGTTTAAATAATTTTTTGAAAGCTTGATGATTTGTAGCGGAAAATTTGATATTTTAATAATTTGCTATTTTGCTATTTTAATCTAAATTTGCTTATTTTAATTATCACGTCACTAAATTTATTTATTTTATAATTTATAATAATTCATAGCTTTATAGTAATCAGTAAATTCCTAAGTTTACTTATTTTCAAATCTCTATATTCTCAAATTTATTTATCCTTAAATTTCTATATCTGTAAATTATTTTAACAATTTTATTACCAGAATTTATCTATTTTTAAATTTCCATATCTCTAAAATATATTTATTTTCATATAATCACATCCTTGAATTTTTTTATATTTAAATATTCATATCCCTCAGTTTCTTTATTTTTACCAGATTAATTATTCTTCACCACATTATTTATCACATCATTAAACAATATTTGAAAAATATTTAAAAATTACATCTTCAAATTTCTATATTTAAAAATTATTTAATTACCACATTTTTCAATTTTGTGAATTTTGCAGTTTTTAAATTCACAAATTAATTATCACAGCTTTAATCTTCAGTATTTATATTAATTATCTAGTTACATTGTTAAATTTCCAACATTTAAAATGTATAAATTTAGAAATTAGTGAACGAGCTCCTGAATTCCTAAATTTACAGATTCCTGAATTATTTAATTATCAAATTATCGAAAAATCGAATTAGCAAATTTAAACTAAAAAATTACTAATTTAATTTCTAAATTAGTAAATTTAAATATTTATTCGTACTTACGATGTGCCATCTCCAAATCATTCTTCGGGACACGACAGCACTACGAGAACTATTTGAACCAAAGTTAACTCAACCGATAAAAATGATATCTATCATACTAACTGCTGCTGACGACAATTTTTATACTTTTGGTTATCGACCAAATTTTGCAAATTAGCTCTCCTTTCCAAAAAAAAAGATATTTGCGAAAATGGTTTCTGACGACTCGAAAGAAAATTTTTTATCAATCGCATGTCATTCCCTATATCATCGACAAGAAACAGTATACTATGCGAATTGTTCTGAACACATAATCTGCACCTTTGGACCTGCGAAATATATTGCAAACATTATAAAATTAATAATTAATACATATATTGCATATTAATCAATCAAATCAATATTAATTGCATTTTTAGAAAAATCGAACTAGTGGCGCCATCTCTCCGGCAAAACGGGTGAACTACACACTTTTGAAACTGCAGTTTTGTTCGTTCTCTCCTTCCACCGCTAGATGGCGCCACATTAGCTTGGAAATTGTGATGATCATCAGAGTTGTCGGTCAAGAAGAGTCTGTTATCGAAGCCGTCGATCATGAGGAATTCTTGTTAACAAATGATTAATGTTTAAAGCTATCGTCGTTTGATCATATTTAATTTTATTTTAAAAACAAAATCATTTGTTCATAAATACAAATAGAATTCTTCTTGAACGGCGGCTTTGATAACAGAATTCTGCTTGACCGACGACTCTGGTGATCACCAAGTAAGCCCTTAAGATAATTAGGATTATCCTAAGAAGGGTAGTATAGTAAATGTCATAAGAATAGCAAACAAATTTTCTTTCAAGTTATCACAAACCATTCTCATAGATATTTTCTTTTGCAAAAAAGAGCTTATTTAAAAAATGTTGTTAGTATCAAAGCAAGAAGATTTTCCGAAGTTCCACCATGAGTCTACCAAAATACAGCTTCCTGCGCATTCCGCTAGATAGCGTCTTTTGAATTTCTAATTTGCCCAAAAAATACAACTGAATATAAAATTAAATTTCCACGATATAATCGCATAAACATTAACCTATTATCCACTCTATTCCAATGGAAACATTACTAGAACCATTGTGAAAGGTCATGTGATAATACTGTTACATTAATTGTCACCTATTTATCAAAAACTTTTATCAGTATGCTGACGTAAAATATGTTCTTTCAGAAATTCCTTTACGTAATGTGCTACCATAATCCGTAACATATTTCTTGAAATATTTTTAGAATTACATTTGCATGTCATGATAAACATTCCACATTTATTGCATCAGATGAAAATAGAAAAATAAACTATAGCAGTTTGACTTTAAATTAAATTTGTAGGACAGAAAAGCGAGAACCATGGCGGCGGTTCTGTTGGCGAGATTGTACTTTCGCTGTATTGTACGTTTTTCTGACCGAGACTACAAGCGTTGAAAGAATATTACCGTGGAAATTGAATCAGGAAAGAAAATGGTATGTAACTTGTCAAAAACAATGACTGTCCTTTTAGTGTTGCCATGTAAAACGTTTGTAACTGTCAACATAACCTTGATCGAAGCTGCTGAGACAACGTCATTTATTATATTGTCATTTGTTTCAAACATGTGGCTAATAAATAGAATTTCGCTACTTTACTTTTCCTTATTCATTGAGTGTCATTTGTTTTGTCTTTAAGTATAAAATAGAACCTGTTGCTTTTGTGGAAATAAATATTATGAATGTTAATGTGGAATTATAACTTTGTATAAATTAAAATAATTATTGAAACGAATGAATACTTCTATTTTAGTGAAATACTATAACGACACCACTAGATTGTTTATTAAATACCCTGTACTTTAAAAATTAAACAAATAACTAATTAGTCTTCTGTTTTATATTATTAGAGTCACTACTGTGAATCTGGTGAATCTGACGATGGTGGAGATGACCAGGAAAGTTCTTCTTACTCGGGGACAAATATCGAAGATGCTTTAACATCTTTCAGAGAGCAATGGCAGCGGGAGTTAGAAATATCTCCGAAACGAGAAAGATCAAAGACTCGTTCCACAAAACTAGTTGACTTTGATGTTTCCAATGGAGAAGAGTCCTTGGATACCATTGAAAATAAAGTACAGTATTATTTACTATATTTTTTAAAAGAAATATAACTGAGAGAATAATGTATTACAGGCAAAAAATCTGTTTTTGAAAGGAATTGAATATGAAGAACGTAGGAAGTTTTATGAAGCTATTCAATTTTACAAACGCGCTGTACTGTTAGTTCCTGATATTGAATTACGTTTATACGAATCGACCAAACTCAAATCAAATGACGAGGTCGGTGAACAACTAGAGGACGACGTAAATAGTATTGAAGATAATACTGAAAATCATAATGAAGAAGAAGAAGAAGAAACTGATTTATTTGTTAAATTGTGTAAAATTGTAAATCATAACAAATGCGTTTGTTTTCCTAAATTTCAGCAAGATGTAAGTATTTGTGCTATATTAATGTTGTAGTATAATTGTCTAAAATACAGTTGTGTACTTGGTCTTATATTATATTGTTGTTGTCGAATATCCTGATAAATATTACAGAGCATTCCTTATTTCAGGCAACTCATATTTCTGCTTTGCCTATGGAAATAATGCTTTATATATTAAGATGGGTTGTGTCTTCCGAATTAGATTTGAGATCCCTTGAAATGTTCTCCAGAGTGTGTCGTGGATTTTACATATCTGCAAGAGACACAGAGATCTGGAGACTTGCCTGTATTAGGTAAATCATAGAAACTGTTTAATTAAGTCAATTTCGATAATAATTCCATGAAATTATACAGAGTATGGGGTGTAAATTGCGGTACCTATGCTCCCAAGTATCGGTCATGGAGAGATATGTATTTACAACGGCCTAGATTAAGATACAATGGGTGTTATATTAGTAAAACCAGTTATATTCGCGATGGTGAAAACAGTTTCCAAGATCGATTTTACAGACCTTGGCATTTGGTGGAATACTTCAGGTACCTGAGGTATGTCACAGTGTAATTTCATAAAACATTTATTATGAACAATATTCGATCTTTATAAAGTTTTCTTTGGAAATAGATTTTTTCCAGAAGGCAGAGTTTTAATGCTAACCTCGACAGATGAAGCACAAAATTGTGTAAACTCTTTAAAAAACCGTGCTCCACGAAATTCATCGATTCTTGTTGGCCATTACAGGTTGCACGATAATTATGTTAATTTAGTGCTCAAGAAACAAGAAACGAAACCTGTGAATACATACAGAAAGAAGAAAAGAGAACCTATACATGATAGTGGGGAACAAACTTTTCATCTTGTAAGTATTTATGGTACCAATATTAGATTAGTACATGTTACAGATGTTGCCGAGATAACAGATAATTATTCTTATGAACGTTTGCAGGAATTTGAAATTCAGGACCACCATAGACGGTTAAACTCACAATTAAAATGGCTCAGTTATACTATATTTACAAAGTATAGAAACGGACACGAAGTAAAAATGTGCTTGAAGGAGCCATCTGTCAGAGAATGGAGAGTGTCGGCAATCGGCGGACGATACCCGCCTCTTAAATTTAGTAGAGTTAAGAGTTATACTCAAGAAAGCGAAGCTCCTTTGCAATAACTGAATACAGAATTAATAATTGTCTGGGTCGCGTAAGAGTACAATAATGGAGCTAAAATTTAAGAGAAAATTAAATTCTACGAGCCAATCAGTCTTGACATATATTTTCACTACAAACATTAGCATGATGTTCTTTGAGATTCATGCCGAAATATTTCCTTCCTAGTTATTTTCACTAATTACATTTTTATTAACCTACCGCAATTTTCGCATTACAGTTTTCTCTTAAATTCTATCAGCTACGTTTTTATGTAGACAACACAGACAAGTCATAGATTTATCGAGATATATTACGCACTGGAATAGTGCCTTATGTGCTTTCAAAGTAGGTGCTTGTATTCCAGAACTTATTTTCAGTTTTTTTATTTATGTTCATACCATTTATTTAATAATATAAATAAGTTTAGAGATCGGTGATTATAACATAACAGATTTATTCGTGATTTTTATGAAACTATAAGCTACCTGGAGTAAGCACTTGAAATGTATTGTTCGGAACCGCAAGAACGTATATACACGTAATGTTACACCAAAAATATATTCACCTGGCAGGTGTTATTTATTTTATTATTTATATTTCAGTTAAAATATATTTATTATGTTATATTTCTTGCGGCTCTGTTCATTAGTTTCATATAGAATCTTATTTGGAAACGTGTACATTCAGTCAAAGTATATGGAAGAAACTTAAGATACATTAACTAAATACACACATACATATATATGTATTCTTCATTTTTTAATTACGAAACCTATTGAATGGCGGAGAACAAGCCCTGACTATGCCTATAACTTTCAGATGTACATGGGCCGTTTATGTACCATCACTCGTGGAACTAACTGAATTTTAACTGATATTTTGGAACAGTTTTATTTGTTAAAAATGATAGCAATGTATCTCGAATCAAAGGTACGAATGTCCGGGAACATGTCTTGTACTTTACTGTGGGTATTGAATTCTTATAATCATTATAATAAACGTATTTTTGATGTGCTTATTTCGTTTCAATCATTTTATCCCTCTAGAATTCAACTGATACTTAAAGTACATTCACATTGGTTCATCCAGTTTCTTGTATGGATATGATAAAATCGTGTTTGTACTGATAGTTGTACTCGGAACTGTTCCACGTATTACATGCGTTTCTTTATAATACAGTGCAGTCTCGCTATACGGCTCCCACTTACATTTGAACACAAATTTTCTAATTTCCAAATTTATGGTAGAACTCATTGGTACAGCGAGATTCCGCTATGGCACAAAATTTTGTTATATATATCTCATTTCTGTACAGTTGTACTCGAAGATTTATCCGCTCCGCGGAGCGTTCCCTGGTCAGCTAGTATCTACATAAATAACCGCCGATTCTCGTAGGCTCAATTTATCACAGACTTCAAAGAACAATATTCAATCACAGTTCATCGTGCATCAACTCGACGGAGCTCGTTTCGTTACACGCAGACGGATCCGACATCCAAGCAAGATCTTGAAGAGTCGCCGCATGCATCGAACACACAGCCAGAACGACCAACACGTGCATCAAATTGTGAGAATTCAACGCCAAATCTAATTTGCCTGGAATCCATTTTTCAGGAATACGCATGGCACCAATGGTTGCTCCCACCACGGCTATTAGATCCTGAAGAAGTTCATTTGATATTGCAGGATTCTTTTATTGCTCAAGTTCTAATGTGGTCAAGTACTTTGGGATGTTCACCTGTAACACAATGTGAAGCAAAGCGTTCGGAGACCCTCCACCTATACCGAAACACCGCAGGATCATCACCGACATCCTCATCAAAAAAGGAGGTGCGAAACATAATCTTCTCTCCCAGGGAGATCGTGCGTGCATCGCCTATAAAACACGCGACTGTTTCAGAGATTATAAGAATTCACAGTGACAGGAACTTCATTGGCGTAACTGAGAGTCAGAGTGGACCTGGTTTATTTTAGATCATTCTCTTATGTGGACATCTAACTCCACATGTAGAAATGTAACGTGTAGAAATCAAACTTATAAAACCTAACGTGTAGGAATTCAGTGTGTGATAATGTAGCACATAATAGTCTAGTGTCTATTTTAGAACGATGTGACTACACATGGCCAAACAACATGTAAGAATACACACATGTCTAAAGTTGGTCCTCTCAGAAATTCTAGTTACACCAATGAGAAGCACATAGAGAATGATGTACCTTGAGAAGTCCGCGTTCCCTGGTCAGCTAGTATCTACATAAATAACCGCCGATTCTCGTAGGCTCAATTTATCACAGACTTCAAAGAACAATATTCAATCACAGTTCATCGTGCATCAACTCGACGGAGCTCGTTTCGTTACACGCAGACGGATCCGACATCCAAGCAAGATCTTGAAGAGTCGCCGCATGCATCGAACACACAGCCAGAACGACCAACACGTGCATCAAATTGTGAGAATTCAACGCCAAATCTAATTTGCCTGGAATCCATTTTTCAGGAATACGCATGGCACCAATGGTTGCTCCCACCACGGCTATTAGATCCTGAAGAAGTTCATTTGATATTGCAGGATTCTTTTATTGCTCAAGTTCTAATGTGGTCAAGTACTTTGGGATGTTCACCTGTAACACAATGTGAAGCAAAGCGTTCGGAGACCCTCCACCTATACCGAAACACCGCAGGATCATCACCGACATCCTCATCAAAAAAGGAGGTGCGAAACATAATCTTCTCTCCCAGGGAGATCGTGCGTGCATCGCCTATAAAACACGCGACTGTTTCAGAGATTATAAGAATTCACAGTGACAGGAACTTCATTGGCGTAACTGAGAGTCAGAGTGGACCTGGTTTATTTTAGATCATTCTCTTATGTGGACATCTAACTCCACATGTAGAAATGTAACGTGTAGAAATCAAACTTATAAAACCTAACGTGTAGGAATTCAGTGTGTGATAATGTAGCACATAATAGTCTAGTGTCTATTTTAGAACGATGTGACTACACATGGCCAAACAACATGTAAGAATACACACATGTCTAAAGTTGGTCCTCTCAGAAATTCTAGTTACACCAATGAGAAGCACATAGAGAATGATGTACCTTGAGAAGTCCCCAAATACTAAGGGAACAATAGATGAAAATACAGCAGTACCAGTAGCCATTGGGTAGACAGTGAACTGTTGCAGCCATCATGGGTATTGCTCCTGAAATGAATGGTAATATTTATATAACATCATTCCTTGATAATTTTACTACTATACAATTTTACATTACATTAATACAATTTTAGTATTACCGAAACTTTGGCACAGCCATATGCCGATCATGTCTAATTTCAACAACGTTCTATAGAAGATTTCATCATAGTTTAAGTTCATGAAGAGATGATAGATGAAGGAACCAATCCATGGACTAACAGCGCCGATCAAATGGCACCACGATAAAATTCCTAGGAGGATACTTTGAGTACTCCATGGAAGAAGTTGTGGTATCGTCAGTAGCATGTACAAGATCGCTAATCCTGTAATCCATTAAAATTGTGTAGTTGTAAATTAAAAAATAACTAGTTCACAACAGAGATGATAGTACTACTCTTACAATGCAACAAGTGTTCTTGTTCGTATAAGTAATGAAGATAATTAATTAGGAAATGCCTTAGGGGCGTCTTTAATGATTCAGTAGAGAAAGCTTTGACCTGATAGACTTGTGAATAATTCATACATGTCTCTTATAGTAATCGTTTTATTTTCATGCATAAGTGAACGATGTTGGCAATAAAAAATACATCGTGAAGTAGATATATTTATGCAATTGACATATTTATTTTTGTAATCGTTTTTGTTTTGTGATTAACGTTGGCGTAACTGCGACATGGAATTATTATTATTTATGTACTTTAATAGAACAAATTCTCAAACTTTCAAATTATCAAATTTCAAATTATCAAATTTCAAATTATCAAATTTCAAATTATCAAATTATCAAATTATCAATTCCTAAATTCCTAAATTTTCAAGTTTACAAATTTGCAAATTTCTAAGTTCTCAACTTTGGAAGGTCTGAAGTTTCGAAATCCTCAATTTTCAAATTTCCAAATTTCTAAATCTTCGAATCCTAAAATTTTTAATTTCTAGCTCTTCAAATTTATATTCCATCTGTTATATCTTCAAATTTTTATCTCCAAATGTTAAATTCTATAATTTCCAGGGGTCACTAATTCCTGCCCAATTTTTTCAATTAACGCTGTTTAATAAAATTAGAATATCTAACCTATCCTAGAACAAAACGTTACGCCAATGATTATAAATCCATTATTTGCACCTTCTATCATGTCCTAACATTTCAATAATGTCCTAATGTATTTTTAAATCGGTTTCGTAAATCGCTAGTTTTAAATATGAATGAAGTTCATAAGCATAGATAATGCGTACACATTAGGTATTATTATGAATGTCAAGTATTTGGATTAAGAACAAATCTAAGGAAGATAATATATGGCTTCATTGATCGATTTCAAATTATCTCTTTATGCACCGATAGGTGTACTCATACATAATCATTTCTCGCAGAAATTGACCTTGAAGTCGCGTAACTCAAGGGTAATCCAGTTTTCTACTTAATTGAATCACAATAGCTATATCTCGCTTTTTATTGCCTTCAGACACCTTTGCAAAGGTGATTATACTTATATGATCAATATGCCAGAATTATCTCACAAGATATTTAGGCTTCTTTTAATTAACCCTGGTATTAACAATGGAATATAATTTCTTCATTTTTAAAATTTTAAACTTTTACATTTTTAAGATACATTTTTAATTTTATTTTATCTTGTGCAAAACCCTTTTACAAAAAAGTTAGGTAAATTGTTGTACGAGTAATAAATAAAAAATTGTGTATTTACAACAAATTACCCACAAATAAAATTTATGTTTTCATTTTAGGTTTTTCATTTTTACAGTTTTAAATTTTTCATTTTTAAAATACATTTTTAATTTCATTTCATTTTGTATAAAACGCTTTCACAAAAAATAGTAAATAAATAAGATAAACTGTTGTATTAGTAACAAATTAAAAATTGTGTATTTACAACAAACTATCCATAAATAAAATTGTCATAATTATGGTTGCACTAAAAGAAAATTTCTGCAGGAATAGGATTTTGAACCCTATTTGATCAGATTTGCAAACTTAATGCATTAACCACTTTAACTACTACCTCGGTCATTATCTACTAACTTGATCTAAACCAGGTCTACCTCGAAATAATCAATTTCCTCAGACTTCAAGTCCATTATACTCCTAATCAACTATTCGGTATTAAAATTAAAGGAATTTTTAATTCACATACAGGACCATCATCATAGCAAATTTCATAAAAATCGGTGAGGACCATGTCATACTTAAAATCTGAAACTCACCGTGCGTTATGATATTAACGGTCTCGTTGTGGACGTAGAACAAGCTACCGAGACATTGGCGAACGGTCATGAGCGGCCTGTAACCAGACCGGATGTGAGGATTGAATTGAAGGTGCCGTGGCATGTCGCTCCATCGTCGCAACAGTCGAATCTTGGGTGTCTCATCCTGGTGCATCGTTTCCTTCTCGCGATCGAACGAGCTTGGGTCACCGGTGTCCTGGAGCGGAGGTTCTGACACCTCCGCATGATGCTCGTCGTTTCGAAGCGACGTCGTGCGGTTTGAATGGCCGTGAGGAAGGTTTCGAAGCACACGCGGGACAAAGTGCCACGAGCCGACGAGCAGCTGTGACGTCGGCGACGACGGTGTCGTTACTGCATCACTTTCGTACTCCGTCCACCACCATCCGCGGTTCTGACCTCTCTGACGGTGCCGTTGCCACGGGAACCGCATCGATCCTTTTCATTGCCAGAGGGAATCCACCCCGTCGAATACTTGCAACCAGGCTCCACGAGCTTGCGAGCTGATTTATCCCAGCTGTGTTATTTGGAGACGCAGCCATTGGCGTAACTTCGTAGGGGTGGTCCTGGATGAAATGCGGAAATGTGGATTGAATTTATTTCAACTTCGAATGAATATGATATAGTGGCGATATAGGGATTGTAGTTAGAAGTTGAAGATTTGGAAATTAGATGGTTTTGAATTTGCTAATCTGTGAATTAATTTTTGGATTTTTAGACTTTAAAATCATTGAATTTTTAATTTTTTAAATTACCAAGGTTTTAAATTTTCAAATTTACTCAGAATTCGCTGATTTAAAAATTCCTGTAGTTCAAAATCTACAAATCTCAAAATCCCTAAATTTAGAAATCTGGAAATTTCGAAATCCCTAAATTTCCAAATCCACAAAATTCAAAATCGCTTTCCAAATCCAGAAACCTCAAAATCCGTAGATTTCCAAATCCAGAAATCTCGAAATCCCTAAATTTCCAAATCCACAAATCTCAAAATCCCTAGATTTCCAAATCCAGAAATCTCAAAATTCGTAGATTTCCAAATCCACAAATCTCAAAATCCCTAGATTTGCAAATCCAGAAATCTCAAAATCCCTAAATTTGCAAATCCACAAATCTCAAAATCCCTAAATTTGCAAATCCACAAATCTCAAAATCCCAGGATTTCCAAATCCACAAATCTCAAAATCCCTAGATTTCCAAATCCACAAATCTTAAAATCCCTGGATTTCCAAATCCAGAAACCTCAAAATCCCTAAATCTGCAAATCCACAAATCTCAAAATCCCTTTTCGAAATCCACAAATTTTAAAATTCCTAAATTTCCAAATCCACAAATCTTAAAATCCCTAGATTTCCAAATCCACAAACCTCAAAATCCCTAAATCTGCAAATCCACAAATCTCAAAATCCCAGGATTTCCAAATCCACAAATCTCAAAATCCCTAAATTTGCAAATCCACAAATCTCAAAATCCCTTTTCGAAATCCACAAATTTTAAAGTCCCTAAATTTCCAAATCGACAAATCTTAAAATCCCTGAACTCACTAACGTTCAAATTATCAAACTCCTAAATTTCCACATTTAGATTTGATATGCCCATTACTGCATTACAGCTATAATCCATAGTTGTAGATTTCCCTTTCCTTATATCACCATTTCCCTCTAGATAAACCTGACCTACACTGTACTTCAAAATATCTACATAATAGCACCTAGAACAGAAATCCTATTTACGCCCATGGTTGCAGCCCTTTCGCCTCCACGTTTGTCCAATTTGTAGAACGATGTCACTTTCACTAATATATGGGGGAAACGTGTTGGTCATTTGAAAGGTACTTGCGCTAGGAAATGATTTGTTATAGGGATGAATGGGGTTAAAGAAGATCCTAATTATATTGCTTTCTATTTCTCGAGATGCATATTTGAGTAGAAAAATTAAATAACAAGTTTTAAGCTTTTTATTAATTATATTTGAAAATCGTAATTTGCTAGTGAAAATATTTTAGGATATATTTGAAAACTATATTGAATATATTTGAAGACTAATTTACTGTCTTTGCATTTGGAGCAGATTGAAATTTATTTTATAAATATCCCTTTACATCTTTATTGTGAACTTGTTTTGTGTTCTTTCTTATTGTTTGTTCTAGAACTACAAGTATTATTCATTGTACTTGTTGTGAGCATTATTCGAAACTTCAGTATCCACGCGAGTGCCTTTTATAGCTCCCACCGAGTTATTTAGGAAATGCACGAGCCTCGATCGATATTTATAGGAAAGGTTAATTAAAAGGAAGAATGACATTTTTCAGGAGTTTATTAATAAATTCTCTACCCTCAATTTGCACAGTACAATCTTTGTATTGATTAAGTTATAATCACTTCTGAAAAATATAAAACACAATGGCGCTATCACTTATTTTGTACTTTTACCTTCATAAAGTTCTAATTGTAAACCATTCATAAAGTTAAAGTTTGTATCTTCAATATATCGACGTATTTATTGGACATATTCGAAAGCTAATTTTGCCTCAAGTCTCATTGTCGTAACTAGGATTTTCCAGAGGGTCGTTCCTACATTGCCGCGCGTTATATTACGTATAGTATAACTATGCATACATTATTATTACATGCATATTATTACATATTATTACATGTATTAATAATGTAATACACACAATGAAATTTATACGTAACCTTACTATACTGGGTACTCTAGTTCGTACCTAATGAAATGAACTTCGCGTTACATCTCCATATTATTGCAAGTCTTTCATAAAATATCCCATACTTTGACCGCCACCTAATTACGCCAATGTCGAAACTTCAAATTTGTAAAGAGTGAGTGGCAGTCCATATTTTTAGCCTATTCATTAGATCAAGCACCGGATAAGGTTCATTTCTTGGTTAAGGGCCAACGTTAAATCTGAATGTCTCGCAGAATCATTGATTTTCAATTGATTCTAGATTGTTCTTTCCATTGCCTTTTCTCGTTAAATTTTATGTTATCTTTCAAGGGAAACAGGAAGCGATACCCAAACACGGGCAACGCGAATTTCTCCCGGTATGTTTCCCCGTCGTTCAAACTAAGGACGTGATCAATGGACAGTTTCCAATTGGTAAGCTTATATAATTAATCCGTGAGTCACTTTGGGCTCCTTCTGCTGCTTGTCCCTTTGTGCACTACTCAGGTAACGTGCTGTACTACACGTTCGGTTCATAATGTGCTCTTTGTTGTCCGATAACAATTATGAAGTGATTTCGTATTTGAGGGTTAGTTAGTTGACACACAGCGCAAGCGCCACACAGTAAAACGTTACCTGCACCTAGTCCTTCTGGTAAGCCGCAGTCACCCGGATAAGATGGGTGCAGGTTTAGTACAGTGTCTATTTTATCGTGTTACCGTTAGAAGCTCATCCGTTTTGCTTAGTGCGATTAAGGGTCAAAACAATCGGGGATTTCATCGTGGACTGAAGGTAGGTCAAGTAGAAATCACAGGAGCTTTCATTCAGGATTATTTGACATTTAGAACCCCATTAATACCATTAATTCACTTATCATGATTTTCCCTCCGTGACACGATTGGCGCAGGTCCAGTCACGTGGCCTTGGTTGTGATCACGGTCATGTCGAATTATCGACTCACCCTTATCGATATTGCAGGTGCCTTGTTTCGAAGGGCGCAGTTCTTCGAGCGCTATGTTGTGCCGTGGTGTAATGATACACTTTTTAATTCTCATGGATAGAAGAATGTCTTCAGGTCCTTTTAAACATAATTTTTAGTTAGAAATTTTAACAGTTCAATTTTACATATAAAAATGACTATCATAATATCAAAATTGTTAGAGATGTAATTTTGTGAATAACCGTTTGTATTAACATCTTCAATGTCATGTTAGCTGTGGACGATATATGAATTTTTGCACATCTATCATTTTCCTAGAAATCAGTTTCCGTGGCCTATAAATAATTAAAAATTTTTTATAAATTTTTAGTACGTAATAAAAATGTGAACCTACTTATGTCAATTTTAAGATAGTGGTGAAAATGATTACAGCAAACGTACAAGGAACTATGGGCAATTGTCGAAGACTTAATTCCATCTGTGATAATGAAGAAGTACATACAGAAGCAGTCTAAACCCGTCTCGTTTAATTCGATAATAGAGGTAAGTGTTTATCTATAATCTGAAATAAAAATATTCTAATAAATCAACTGTTATTAATTACTGTACGAATGCAGTGTTTCGTCGCCATATTGCGCGCGTAAATTTGAAATGGATAAACGTCACCTATCGGAGTATGTTCTGAACTAAAAATAATATAATAGGATAACACGAAAGTAAAGGACGTAACAGGGCTGTGTTTAAAATCTTTCGAACCTTAGTCATACTAATAAAAAATAGGACACTCCTTATATAATAGAAACAAGAGCGAATATTTCAAACCACTATATTTGAATAATTATATTTGACGTGGTATTTAATTTACAATATTCTTGTTGAAGATTACAAAATAATATTAAAAGACAAGAAATATTAAATTATTTTAAGAAATTGAAAATGTTTATTTCCTAACTTTGATGTATGTAAATTTATTTATCACAGAATTTTTTTAATAAAATAATAGTAAATATTTCTTTGGGCTATCTTTTATGGGCCCTAGATACATACCTATTTTCATAGAGATAAATGAGTTCTTGTTTCTTTTACCGATAATGATGTACTCTTTGCAAAATACGTGGGGTGTGGTGCCACCTACGATAATGTTCAGAGGTCATCAACTAGTCACTCGGTATTTATGTGTTTATCTCAAAACCTCATGAACATCATGATTTTTCTTATTTTCGGTTAAAACTTAAGTATGTTCTGGAATTTATTCACTTTAATAAAATATGGTGTCGTGCGAGTAATTAGTAATCTGATTTGGGGACAGGTATGTAAAGTTTCTTTAACGAATCGTAAATAACGCGGTTGATATTTTGATAAGTAAGAGGGTTTAGGTATTACATTGGTTTAGACAAAAATTTGATTCTATGATGATTTCAAGAGTGCAAGATTCAGTAATTTGTAACTCTATTACCGTTTATTTGTTGTGTAGTGTAAATTTCTTTTGTGCCATTTAGAAACGAGGTTATCGTATGTGTATTGTGTGAACAGTACACATCGTTCAGTAGAACAGAAATACTTTAATATTTCTTCAATACTGATTACATAATTAATGTAACGGCTCACTATTGTATCATATTAATAAAGACGGTCAATTTTTTAAATGTATGCATGTATTAAAATGTATGCTGTTCGGTTTATTATATGTGAATATTAAAATCTTTATCTGTTCCACATATTTATACTGAATAATTGATAAATGTTACAAATCGATTGATTCATGATTTTTTTAATAGTATTTTCTTGTCGTAATATTAACATATCATTTCTTAACCTTAAAGTAACAGTAATTAACATGTATAACGCACATACATTATTTAAAGTAACCTTCCGCACAAATTACAGTTACTGGGAATGTGGTTACATTTATATTATATCATAAACAATTGTAATTAAATTTTTAAAATTCTTCTTGTATTGTAGTAACCGGCAAAAATTATGAATATTGTATCGTTTTTGTATCTACCGGAAATACGTATATAAAGGTTAGTCGGTTAACTTCGTAACCGTTCGGTTTCCCTCGTAAACAGTCGACTTCACGATTCCGCACGAATATAGCCGAGCTCTATTCGCCAATCGCATCGATCCGATTTCCACGTCGTTGTCACACAATAGTGTTGTACGTAGCACATCGTTGCGCTCTGTGAATATTTTGTGTTTTCGAGTACTTTTTGGGACCAACCGAGCCTGATTGATCTCTCCAATGTAAGTGCTATTTCCAGTCATACTATTGCCATAAGTTAAATTAGAATTATTAAGTGATGTCCACTAGAAATTGTGCATGTGTAGCGTTCACTGGTACTTGATGCTTCTCTATCTCCAAGATGGCCGTCGTTTCATGGAAGTTCCCTTATGGCGTATGCCTTACAGTTTGTTTCGTTACTTGTAAATTTCATCGTATTCGTTCTTTCACAATTACCGAGTATACGCTCGCTGTACATTGTTCCAATACACTGTCTGCTCCTTCAAGAATGTGAGCATCCAAACTCAACGTTCCGTTTCGGAAAGCTAGCACTTCATTAGCATTAATTTTGGTACAAGCGTGCCCACGCGTACTCGTTACATTTTCATTTCATTATCCTACTTTTGATCAGTCTGCCATCATTCATGTCACCTCACCACTCTAATCGTCTATTCTTCGATATTTCTTGTGGAAAGATTGATTAAAAGGGTTTTGGCGGGATATTTATTTCCTGATTTCACGTAATAAATGTGTTTATAGGCTTTTATAGGGTCACAATTACACTCCTGACAAATTCGAGGTACTTTATTTATCCTTTCGAAGTGGGCTGTTTTCCTTACAGTGCTTAGTATTCTTTTACGATGCAACTGCCCACATTTTACAGAGTTTTTTGAGCTGATGTCCACGTCGTTGTCGAAAAACAGTGTCATACCACAAGCATCATCTTCACGTTCCTGGGTATCATCCATCTTCAATTTCATTTGGGACCAAGTGAGCCTCTTTCGCCATCCTAATGTAAGTACATGTAGTGTGGTTTCAGTAGAAAAAGGCTCTGGTCCTAATATCTTTTGTACGATTACGTATCGTTATCTTGTGTACATTTCATATGTTCATGATCTTCCATTCTTTCTTTCAATAGTACTACTAATCTGATTTGTTCTTTACAGAGATCCTAATTATAAAACTGTATTATAATAATTATAGGTTGTCTATCACTCAGAAGGTAAAAGTCATAATCATATCAGCTAAGTTTATCTTAGATCGTTTTATAATATCATGCCATTTTTTTTTTTTTTTTTTGTTAGGTTACTCCCTTTGTTTGTAATTATCCATCTATTATCTAAAATTTCTGATACTTCTTATCTAATAAATTTTCTGTTAATGTTTAAGACCATGCATTTTATCTTCAATTGTCTGAGAAGGTTGATCCAAAATGATCCTATTCTTCTAAACAAAAGTTGCCTTAATCATAGCATTTAAAACATTTTTGACAATAACAACATAGCACATATATTATTTGTAACAATTATTACTGAATTTTGTTTCTGAAATTCATGTAATATAAGATGCTAAAAATCACTATGCACTCTTTTCATGGTTTTTCATTGTCTGGGATCAGTGCATTTACCATTTCTGTTCTCAAAACTGTTCTCAAATATCTTAGCTAAAGTGCATTGGCCTTTTATCAACCATTGCCCATGTACTAACAAGTAAACTGTATATATGTATTTCTATACAAACTCATAGGATGACCTAACCAATACAATCTGTACATATTTATTCTTTGAAAAGAAAAAAAAAATGGTATGTGTCATAAATCTATTTGTCATTTTACTAAAGTATTTTGTTTTCCATAATAAAAATTGGTTTATTCATACCACTGACTTTTACCTCCTCCAGTTATAACTGATTTTTTTTCACCTTACATTTTATTCCTATTCTTTACCTTGAATTAATGGTATGGCAACATGGTATGGTACAAATTAAATATTTGTATTCATTTATAAAGTAATCAGCTTTAACAAAAATGTGAGCAGCATTATTTGTGTACTTGTTAATATATTAGCTATATAAGTGAATAATTATTTATCACAAATTTGTATTCTATTGTTTATCACTTTTTGTACAAATTTGTTGATATGTACAGACTATCATAAATTTAAAAGAATAATACTATATTCTTCAAGCTTTGCTTCAGAATTTATATCTACTTCAAAATCCATGTGTCTTCAGCTACGTAGCTTCTGTGTAATATGTGATCTCAAAATGTATATACATATTATTACTATTTAATATTATGTTATGTGTTTTAGATGCCACGAAGCAAGAGGCGTCACCGCACTCGTAGCCACTCAAGAGCACGTTCACATTCTGCAGGCTCTCTACAGTATGAACACAAAAGGCGACGCATTGATTATGAAAGTCCGCAAAGCAAGGGAACGTATAGGTGAGTGTTATTAACAAAAACATCTGTCCTTAAACATTTCTGTCAGTACGGTTCTGACTGAGAATACAAGGCAATTTTATGTCTGTACAAAACATTTAATACCCAATGTTCTTTGTAAGAACACTCATGTAATGCTCTGTAAGAGAAAGCTTGCAGTAGATCTGCTAAAACATATATACAAGTCAATCAATAAGTTCATACATTGTACAGGTGATAAAATATTCATCGACACTATGTCTCAAAGCATAAGATCAGAGAGCAAATAGTGCTTACTACAGTAAACAACAAAAAACAGTAGATTTCTTTTGCTGAACCAATGTCTTTCACTGAAACCAGGCATAATTGTTGCACGGTTTTTATAAGACTTGTGTAAAAAAAGATTGATGAAAAATCAAGAGGAGGGGAATAAGTGGAGCTACGCACGAGACCAATGCCGCGTACGGTCTCCCACTCCAAGCGCTCCTAGTATATACACGAACAAGCGAATAGATATTCTCCATGAGATCTTTATGGCTGTCAGTCGTGGTCGGTGCGTTCGAGAGCATTCACGTTCTTACCGAAATCCGAATAGGATCGTCTGAACGTACGTTGGCTGTTGTCGAGCAATTTGCAGAGCATACGTGAGTGCTGATGTGATTTTTATCTGGAATCTCGTTTGGAAAGAGTTGCAAAGAGGTATAATAAGAGTGAACCTGTCGACGAAATTTCTTCTAATACACTCGCACGTTGAAGTGTGAAGTTTATTGTTTAATACCTGTTGAATATCAAATGAAAACGTAGTTAGTTTTCGTAGAATCTTTATTTGGTTCTACGAGTAGAACGCAGTTTGCGTATCAGTATTGCTGATAACGTTTCATGGGGGAAGAAATGTTTAGGGCTCGTTATCGGTTTCTTCTTCGACCTAACGAGTTAGGAGTAAATGATTCCTTTGTTTGTGATCGCGTTTTCTGCAATATATTTTGAATGCTTGTTAAATATATGTTTATCTTAAAAAGCTTCAAACGAAGTTTAGTTAGTCTGATAGAATACCTGATATTTACAATAGTAATTGGTTTTGAATTATGAATGAAATAAACTGCTTTACATACATAGGTAATGCTCCTGAGTAATTTAAAGTAATAAAGCTTTATGTTAGATGTAAGACAGATGTGTTAAATAGATGATATCTATTAATAATTATCTTGTTATATAATCATTTTTTATTTATATAATAATAGTTTAAAAATTTCAAAGTTGGGGTGTGTTAATGGCCTAAAAATCTATATTACTATTTTGAGAAATTTCATAGTTCTAAAGTAGTAAAATTTCAAAATATTAATATTTCATTGTTTTGAAATTTTTAAATTAGTACTTTAGAGCTCCAAAATTCTTGACTCAGTTTGAGTCAAAATTGAGACTCTGACCATTCTAAATTTAGGATTGAATTTAAAGTTCAGAAATTCCAAAACTACAAAATTCTAAAATATTGAAACTCAAAATTTTTTAATTCCAGAATTAAAAAATCCCCAAATAAGGTTTTAGGTAAATTTAATTATATAATTTATTTTTCTGTTATTGAATTTCCATTCCACGTAACAAATATACAAATAATTTAAATTATATTTTGTATAAACAAATAGTTTTGAAACTTTGCTTAAAATCTTAAAATCAAGAGTAATAAAAATTCAAATGGAAATTTCTACAGGAAGAAAACGATGAATCAGTTATCTATTAAGATAGCATATATAGATTCGTTTAAATATACGGATTGTTAATTATCTTATGCAGGAAAAAGTCGACTCGAGGAAAGGAACGAGTTCGTGATCGAATCTCGACATTGGTGTTGATTTAGTTAGTCTGACTCGTCAACAACGCGGAAGAACTCTTCTGCAAACGTGCCATGACACACGAAGGCGCGAGGATGATATCGTTTTGCAGAAGAGTTGAGATCGTTTAATTAAAATGTCCTCAGACGGCAATTGTCATTACTCTTTCAAAGCATTCCACAGCTGGAAATCTTGGCAAGCAATCAGTAGTAAAGATTTTAGAAACTAGTCTTTCATTAATGTTTTCATTTATAGCTAGCTCAGGTAATTAGTAGTTGCAAAGTCTGTCAAACCTCAGCAGTTTATTACTCTTTCAAAAATTATAACTTAACTAGTCTTTAAAGTCTAATATACTAGTATGAACTAGTTCAACAATTTTTCTTAATTTACCTACAAATTTATGTGCCCTTGAGTTCGCCATATTGGTCACGTGACGCGTGACGTACAAATGTATTTTCTTTGTCCGACAATAAAATGCACATAATGATTTGTTATTTGTTTAAAAAGAAGTGCTTAAACAACACTGATAAATACTATTCGACTTCAAACAATTAAAATAGTAACTATCTTATTTTTCCAAGAGAAATAAATGCTTAAAATGACTTTTAAGTGCGCAACAAGGATGTTTACGATTCGTTCCGTTTTAATTATACGTAATTGATATATTATCTTAAAATTTGATATTCTTTGAATAACTTGCTATTTAAATATACTGTATTTACGGTAAATCATAAACTGATGCATATGTAAATATGTTGATTGTTTGTAAAAAACGTGTTAACGCACAATTACCCCGAATTAAGTAGAATCGATTAATCGTGCATTTCGCGAGTTAATGAGACTGTGAAACACGTAACGAGCTGATTTATTTCAACGATTAATTAAATCTTCAAGCTTTTCCCTCTGTTGCCTTTAAGGTTGCGTTAATGAACACTGATAATTTCTCTTTGGATTTACTTCCTGCTCTTCTGCAGGTCGATGACTGATCCT